ACAGACAGGGTCGTCCCAATATGCGTTTTTGCAATTTGCATATAGGCAAAAACGCATAAAAACTACTCCTACTCTAATTACTTTTCAGCTTCACTATTTTGCATGCAAGCTATTTTATATGAAATAGAAAGCAAAAATACAATTAATAAAAGAATATAAAGATATCATCTAGTTCTAGGACTATTTGTCATCGTTCTTGGAGAGAAGGAATTTGTCCGTCGTGGATAATTTTTTAGGGATGAGCCAAATACTTCTGACGAGATCTGTTAAAATAAGCCTCTGACAAATATTGTAGGGCGTTTGAACCGGATCCAATGGAAGAGACAGTATTGCAAGATGCAGTGCGGCATGCTATTTCCTATCACGACATTCAGGATGTTGTTGGTCTCTCAAAACATCCATCCACTGCAACTGTCCAACTGCCAGAAACAAAACGAGCCGAAATAATGTACTGCAGACCCGGCTTCGACAACGTTCCCGCATACTAATAGTCTGTCTATTGCCACAAATAGCTAAGTACAATTTTCTGTTTCGTGTTCCTCCAATGGCAAGGAGTAAGTGTTCTGAATGTAATAAGTCAGCGCATTTACCAGCTCTGGTCTTCGAGTGAAGAAAGTAGTAATACGAGCCGTAGAGAGTCGTGACAGTTTTTTTTAAAAAAGTTTGACGGGTAAATATTTAACGTGGAATTTTACATTTAAAGAACTTCGAGGGGTCAAGACGTTGGACAAAGCAAAGGTGATCCGCCGTTTCTGAACAAGTGCGTAACTGAAAAGTAGGGCTTGAAAATTCGGCTTCTAGGCCTGTTTAATCGAGAAAGTGAAATATCGAAAAGACGTAGAACTCGCCCACACGACATACGCTAAATACTTTCTTTCTCGAATCTATGGTCGTATCCCCCTCCGTATTCACCTCTTGAACGGGGATCTAGGAATTCGTAGGTTGTAACTCGAGGGGTTAACAACAGCCACTGACTGGCAGGGCTCCGGTCATTTTGTCTTCTGAGGGCTGAATACAAGTAAACTGATGGTGGGTTTGATTCGCTTGCTTGTGCCATCGAAACGAACGAACGAATTTTCCATCGAAACGAACGAAAGAATTGAAAAGAAATCAGCTGAATCAAAAAAAGCGCTTATTCTTCGAATTTCAGCTCACTTCATACAGTTTTAAGTAGCGCATGAAGCAAATTCACGCGTATTTTGTACTGAAAATTCGTTTTTCTCGAAGCACGCTTATAATCAATTAATACGATTCTGTAAGAAAAGAAAAACGAGTTACTCTAAACCTGATACTTTCAATCATTTTCACAGTACTTTTTTTTATGCGTTTTTTGCAGCAATGCAATGCGAAAAACGCATATTGACGAGAGGTTGTCTGT